TCAGCGATCACAACTTGCAACTTCACCTGGCAATCCGTACCCGCCGCCCCCGCCGCCCTGCCCCAGTCGCTGCCTCCCATCGCAGAGGAGGAAGAGGAATTCGCGACTGAGGAGGACGAGGTTGGGGAGGGCGCGTCGAACCAAGGTGGAGGGAGGGCGGAGAGAGAACCTGTGGATGGAGGACCAGGTTTCAACCTCGGCACGATGGCAGCCCCGGGGCCCACGGGGCCGCCCGCGCGCGTAGCGCCGGCGGCGTCGCCGGCCGCGCCCCAGGAGTCGGGCGCGGGCGACGCTGGCGATGGCGCCCCCTCGAGCAGGGAGAGCGCGAGCGTCGCCCCATCTACCACGTCGACCGGCACGGCCGATGTGGGCGGCGGCGAGGACGACCGCCGCAGCAGCGGTAGCGGCGGCAGCGGCAGCGACAGCAGCGGCAGCGACAGCAGCGGCGATGACGGCGGCAGCGACAGCAGCAGTAGCAGCTACAGCGAGAGTGATCTCCCGGCGCTCCGTGGGCCAGAGGACCGGCGGCTTGCCCGCTTCGACAAGCCGGCGGATTTCACCAGCCGCCGCATTAGGGAGAACCCTCGCCGAAACCCGAAGTACGAGTCGCCCCCGTCGCCGACAAGTGCCGAAGCCCTGCTCGCCTCGGTGGCGAGCCTGCCCGTCAGCAGCACGGAGGAGTTCACCCGCTGGATGCTCTCGGGGGTGCTTCACGTGGCGGAAGGGCTAGAGGCAAGCGTGGTGCGAGAGCTGCTATTCTAGCGCGCCGAGGAGGCCCACGGTGCGCGCCAAGAGGTGGAGGACTTCCTGCTGGGTGCGGTGGACCTCATGCTCAAGTCGCCAGACGCTTTCCAGACGGCTCTGGCCTCCCACGAGCTAAGTGAGTCCCCCATTGGCAAGCGTCCGAGTAATGAAGAACCGCCCCCCATGACCGTAGCCGGCGTTGCCAAGTCTGTGTACAGAGAGGGGTAGGAACAGGCCATGAGGGAAGAGTTAGAAGGGCACTTGGGCACGGGGACATTTTCATTCGTAGACGACGCGCCAGAGGGGCGCAGGCCTGTGAGCCCTAAGTGGTGTTTTAGTTGGAAGACCAACAATGAAGGGAAGATACACAAGTTCAAAGCGCGTCTGGTTGCTAGGGGGTTTTCGAAAATCCCGAACGTCGATTATTTCCATTCGTCTTCCCCTTGCCCCTCATCCGCATCCATTAAACTTATGCTTGCGGTAGCAAACGAGAAGGGCATGAACCTCAATCACTGGGATGTGAAGCAGGCGTATACACACGCTACGCTAGACGAGGAGATTTTTCTGAGGCTTCCCGCTGGGTGCGGGGACAAATCGCATAAGATTGGTAAGGCTGAGCGTGCGATTTATGGTCTGAAGCAGAGCGGTAGGCAGTGGGGGTACCACGCTGCTGATACGCTAGTCGAGAACGGGTTCGAGCAGTGCAAGGCGGACCCGTGTGTTTTCCGCAAGATGGTAGACGAAGTCGTGGTGATGATTATCGTGATTTATGTGGATGACATGTTGGTGGCTGAGTCGGACGAGGATTGCGAGGAGTTGCTTGCGTCTCTCAAAAAGAAGTTCCCCACCAAAAATCTGGGAGAATGCGAATGGTTTCACAGGTGTGCCATCGAGAGAGATGTAGAGGCTGGGACTCTTAAAATCTCGCAAACCACGTACATCGACAACATGGTGAAACGCTTTGATGTACAATCGACCTCCCGCATCCCTGCTTCCCCTGGTGTCGACCTAGGGCCGAAGCGAGATGACGAGAAGGGAGGGGAGTGGCCGGTGANGGCACTGGGATGCCATACAGAAGATCCTCGGCTACCTGAAAGGGACGAGGGACCTCGGCATCACCTACCAACGGGGATCGGGGTTAGGGCTTGCCGTGTACGTAGACGCTAGCTACGCCGACACGGAGGATAGGCGTTCGGTGTCAGGGTTGGCGACGACGGTTGGAGGTACCGTAGTCAGCCATGGTAGCAAGATACAGAGCATCGTGTCTCTGTCTTCGACGGAAGCCGAGTGCATTGCTGCCGGGGAGGGCGTCAAGGAGGCGTTGTTTGTGCGTGCTGTGCTTTCGTTTGTTGCCCCAGAGACCAGTGGTAGCAGCATCCAGGTCCTTGAGGACAAGCAGGGGGCCATAGCGTTGGTGCAGAACCCCCTCAGCCCAGGTCGCACGAAACACATCGACGTGAGATTTCATTTCATCCGCGGATTGTTCAGGTCGGGGGATATTTCGGTCAAGTTCGTTCCGACAACGGAGCAACACACGGACCTCGTAACCAAGGCCCTTAGCAGGGCCAGTCTGCAGTACCACCGGCGCACGTTGATGAATTTGCCGGAGTAGCTGTAACAGTTTCTAGCACTTGGCAGAGGCCATGTTTTCCATGCGGGGAAAGGCGCATAATTGTTGCGGTCTGTGTACCAATGGCAGGAGTAGGGGGCGTTGGGAGACCATCGTCCGGGGGAACGTAGTTTCTCGCGTTCTTGTCTTCGCCTTGGCCTTTCTAAAAAGTGCGGCCGTTGTGATCCGCTGTGATAGAGACGGTTTTTGTGGTGGTAGGGTTTTTTTCGAGGGGTTTTTCCCGGACACCGGGTTTCCCCTCCATGTACCACCATGTTGGTATTTTCTGATGTATCCAGGGGCGTTCTTGCCCCATCGATGGTTAGTCACTTGCGTGAAGAACCAGGGAGGGTGTTCGTGGGTCTGCGAACATTGGTGTTGGATAAATGTGCTGGATGATTTGGGGTCACGCAGACTAGTAAGATTGCCGTTTGGTAGGAGGTACTGCGATGATTCACGGGGCCCCTCCTTGCTGTGGGAGCCGCTCTTGGAGCACTCCCTCTTTCGTCCGCGTGAAGGACGGTCGTCGACCTCTCGCGACGTTAATACATCACCATAACAGTCTCACCCGAAAAATAAGTGGCGTAGGCCGCAAACAGCCTCTACGACTTCCAACAGATCGTTGATGAACACCTGGAACAATGTGGGGGACAGCATGCAACGTTGTGGGACCCCCTGCTCAATGTCAAAGAAGTTAGACAGTTCTCCGTCAAACATGACCGCGCTTTTCGCACACTCTGTCATCTTCTTCAGCACTCTTCACATTTTCCCCTTAATCCCGTATTTGGACAGTTGTTTCCACAGCTCATTTCTACATACGGTGTCGTTTGCCTTGTTCACGTCCAGGAAGAAGCAGTACGTCGGCTTTCCCGCCCTCTTTCTACCTTGGATGATTCTCCCTACCTTGAATACGTGGTCTACGCACCCCCTCTTCCTTCGGAAACCTGCCTGGCCCTCACCTTTATAGTGCTATGTTCCTTCTCCAATACTCCCACTATCCTATCGTTCAGCAGCTTACAGAACACTTTTCCTACTGTGTTCAACAGTGTGATCCCCCTGTAGTTTCCTGGGTCAGTCTTGTCTCCTTTCTTAAACAAGTTCACAACCACTCCTTCCCTCCATCTACTTGGCGAATATTCGTTTTTCCACATCCAATTGTACAGCAGTACCATCAGCTGGATCATCCNCGTTGAATACGTGGTCTACGCACCCCCTCTTCCTTCGGAAACCTGCCTGGCCCTCACTATTATAGTGCTATGTTCCTTCTCCAATACTCCCACTATCCTATCGTTCAGCAGCTCACACAACACTTTTCCTACTGTGTTGAACAGTGTGATCCCCCTGTAGTTTCCTGGGTCAGTCTTGTCTCCTTTCCTAAACAAGTTCACAACCACTCCTTCCCTCCATCTACTTGGCGTATACTCGTTTTTCCACACCCAATTGTATAGCAGTACCATCAGCTGGATCATCCCCTTCCCCCCAAACTTCATGAACTCGTTGACTATCCCATCCGCTCCTGCTGCTTTGTGGCACTTCAGCTTGTTCACACACGCCTCAACCTCGTCCTCAGTGAACTCCTTTTCTAGTTCTACGTTCCCAACGTCTGCCTTCGATGTCTCTTCTTCTTTCTGGGCCCATGCGTCCACCTCCTCAAACACTAGGTCAAAATCTTCATTCTCCGAGGGCACTTCAAGTGTCTTGTAGTGTCCTGCTAGAACTTCCCTATTTCCCTTCCCACTACTGACTAATCCACCGTTCACACCTCGCAACGTTGCTACCCCTGTATCCCCCCCTTGCGCGGTCTTTTTTACCATTCCACTAATCCCTTCCCACATCTGCTTGACGTTCCCCTCCAGGCCTCCGTTGGCCTCCTGCACTGCTTTGTCCCAAATGCACTTTTTCTTCTTTTCACTAGTCCTGAAAGGTAAACTACGCGGGGTGCAGCAAGCACGTCCTGGGCGTTACTTGGGGCACTGGGTAGTCGGCCGTGTTAGGCCGAGTGTGAGAGATTGAGCGAGAGATGGAGCGAGAGTGAGAGAAGGCGAGAGACGGTGGTAGCGGTGGAGGGAGAGAAGGAAGAAAGAAGGTGTGTGCAACACGCACGTAAGCCTCATCGCTCCAACGGCGCCGAAAGGGTCCGCGTGACTGCACCGGTGGTACCCTACAATACACAAAATTCCCAACACGTATCCCCTTGGGGTCCTCACGACCAGATTCTTCTGCGAGTATATCAAACATCCCCCCTGCTCGCAACAGTTTCTCACTGACAACTTCGCTAACATCCGATATCTCAACCCAAAGACGTCTTTTCAAGAATATATGCCATCAAGACTATACCAAAATATAAGAAAGAACATCGTTCGTTCAAAGAAACATGAATGAATGCTGCATCGCGCGTAATGAATACTTGGCGCGAAAAATGAAAGCAACGTCAAACAACACATCCATCCTCAATCAAACGAAACACACAAGCATCGGCCATGCACTGCTCAAATCCTAACGCCACCAAACACCTCTTCAGCATTGCATGCCACTGCCTAGATGCCTGTCTCAAGCCATACAGACTCTTGCCTAGTTTTACAATCATTCCTGATAGAGCTCCACATCCCTGCGGCAAACGCATGTACACGTCTTCCTCCAACTCCGAACGCACAAAAGCTTGCTCAACATCGAAATGACACAAGTCGAGGTTCAACTCGCACGCCAAAGCAGCCAACATCCTAACACATGAAACAGAAACGGTAGGCGCGTACAACTCTCCAAAGTCAATGTACTCTCTCTGCATATCAAAACTCGCTACAAGTCTCGACTTAACCTTAGGGGGCCATCCAAACTCATCTGCCTTCCAATCGAATACCCACTTAGCGCTAATTCCGTTCTCCGCTAATTGCTACTTCGCCTCCACTAATTGCTACTTCGCCGGAGTAAAAGTCCCCGCTTCCAACAAGNGTGGGCGCTGGTCTCGCAGCATGGCGTCGATGTCTTCCCGGTTGGCGAGGAGCGTGGCAAATGCGAGTGGAAAGCCCGCTCCTGCAGCCCCCGGGTCCACTGCTGCGAGTGCTCCCGCCTGCTCTCCGGCCCCCGTTCCCCCCGGCTCTCCGGCCTCCGCCCCCCCCAGCTCCCTGCGCTCCTTATCCACCGCGCTCCGAGCCTCCAGCATCGACACCAGAGTGTTCCTGTCTAGCATCGAGATGAGTCCTGTGCTGTGCCTCGTGCCCGATCTCGTACGGCTTGGCAGCCGCGGGTCTGTCATACCCTCGGCCTTTGTACCCGGGCGAAGCTGCCGCATGGCGTGAGCCGTAAGCGGGGGCATCGCGGGGTCCGGCGGCGACGGCGGCTGGTCTGGATCGGGGGCCGCCGACGGTGACGGGGAAGCGGCAGAGGACGTCTGGCCAGGAGCGAGGGTCGCCGACGGTGACGGCAAAGTAGCAGAGGGCGGCTATGAAGGCGTGGGAACGGGCAGCGGCGTGGTCGCTGGCGGCGGCGTTGCGGCAGCGACAGGGGGCGAAGCGGCAGCGGGGCGGGAGCGGGCGACGGCGTGGGTGCTGGCGGCGGCGGTGCGGCGGTCGAAGGCGTCGGTGCTGGGCCAAAATTGATCGAGACGACC